GGCACGAACAATGAAACGATAGAAACGATAATAAAACTAAACAGAGCTGCAATGATAGAGTAAACAAAAACGATCTCTTATACTTTGAGCGTTCAGCAAAAAAAACACCTTAACGAGGTTAGTTAAACGTTTTGAAAGTCAAAATGAACAATTGGCCTACGCTTTGACCTTTGATCACGAAAAATGTAACTATGGGTGCGTTTCTTTAAGAAAATCCAAGATTGGATTCTTAAAACCGAAAGAATCCGAAAACGGATTTTGCGGATTCTTCGGTTCCTTTGACGCACCATGATCCTAGAGATCTTGGATTGATCTGTTTAGTAAAGAAACGCAAAATCCGTTTTCGGATTCTTTCGGATTTAAGAATCCAACCTTGGATTTTCTTAAAGTAACGCACCCATATATATTTAGTAGCTAAGATTAAAATTTCCCAAAAAGAAGCCTTCGTCATAGGCGTTATTTGTATCATTACGCAACACTCCGGGAAGAAGTGTTGCGTGACAACTCAAGTAACGCCAACGCAATAGACTGCTTTTGAGTTCTTTTAGGTTAACTAATTCCTGGAGTTAATCAGAAAAAGAAGCCAAAGTTGTAATTCCAGATAATTTTAATTTATATTTTAAGCGGTTAATGCTCTTAATTTTTCTTTGAACCGTGGACTGATAGTGTTAATAAATTATGTTCTTACGATAATTGTGACTGAGTTATTTTTATTCGATACCTAATTTGTTTTTACCTTCAGAATTTAAACGAAAAGAAATATTTTTAATTTAAAGAAAAGCCCTAAACGAGAATCAGCTCTTTCAGAAGACTCCCAGATGACTATCAGCTCAATCTAGTGTCGCTTGTGAAATTCCAGTCAAGCCAGATCAGTGACCTTCATTGTTCAAAACCAACCCCAACATCCTGGAAATGTACTACCCATGACCTGCACTAAAGCATTACTGTTTTACGTCCTCAACAACAGAAAAATTCCAGAAACACTGATTGAAAACAAACATCTTTCAAGCCAATTAGAATAAAGGTGTGGTTTTCTGACGTAGTCAAGTAAAGCCAAAAAGACATGAAAAGCAAACCCTCACCTTCCCCCATGATGCCTTCTCCACTTTAGAGCAAACGACCACACCATCAAAGTGTCCAAGTGCCTCCATCAAAATGAGCGGAACAGATAAACTCACCAGGATTTCTCAGTTGGAATATTGCAGAGGAACGTCAGAAACACCGTCCTCAGAGCCAGAGTTTCCACAACCCTGCAGGGACATCGATCGGCTAGATTTAAATCTGACCGTTTGTGTTGTGTGCGGGTGTATGGGCCATCTCAGTTTCTGAAAATAATCTAAAATATACTACGTTCAGTAGAAAATACCAAATCCACAAAGAAAAAACTAACAAGCTCATTAGCACAGTGAAAAAAACTATTCACTTGAGCTAAAAGAAACCTATACTCTAACTAACTAGTTCTGCTATTGAATTGATACTTAAGTAGTAATAATACTTAGACATACCCAATCTGCCTAAGTTAACACTTTTTGCAGAAAAGTAGGATTAAAAAGCCCGATTCCCTAAGTGGTTTTGAACTAGTGAAAACTACTGCATCAAAACCCTAACGAAAATAACCATAAGGGTTAATTTTCTCTCTATTATACATGTACTATGATGCCAATATTATGGCTGACTAGGAACGCTCACTAGATCTGAAGAGTCTGTTCTACACCCCTGTTCTTCTGACTATCCCCACGTTTGGCCTATCTTTAACACGTTAGTGTCAATGCTAATGTGAAGACCTTATGACACTAAAATTTGTAGTGTTTTCTTAGCTGAGTTAATTAGTAATAGTTTACTTCTGTGCTAATGAGCGTGCAGTGGCACCTTTAAACAAAGGAGGCAAAGAAATGATTTTAGAAAAAAAAAATCGTTTTTTTTAAAAACTGATCGAGAAAGAAATAACAATTTTGTGTGACAATAAATGCATGTTCGCTATATAAATTTGTGAAATCCTACAGATTACTATTGCTTTGATTTCATAATTTCTTAATCCTACAATTGAATATACTTTAAATGCATTATTTTGGAAAAACGTAACTCAGAATTTTTTGCAATACTGATCGAGTAATAAATAACAATTTTGTACAACACTTAGTAAATTGAATAAATTTGTGAAAAGCAGCAGATTGGTATTGCATTCAATTAATAATTTCTTGATCAGCCAATCAAATTTACTTGCATTACCACAAAAGGGTAGTTTTAGGAAGCTTCCTTTGTTCAAAGGTGATAGAATAACAATACTATACATGTAGTTTCACGCACCATCATGCTATTGATCAGAACAAAAAAAAAAAATCAGTGACAAAAATGAAAATGTTGTTCACCAAAAGAAAATAGTTGTGATCAGTGAAAACTGAATTAGCCAACGATTTTAGAGCATGATGCATGTTGAAACTACAAAAAGAAAAGTAAAATATTGTCTTGAATACAAGTTTCCTATTGAGCAGCTACTTTCCCAAAACAAGTTTATTTGGATTACAAGAAAAGCAAATAGCTAGCATAGCATACAACATACAGTGTACATGTATATTTTTTCAAAATCAGACATAAAAATGAAGAGAACCTTAAAAGGTTTCTTATGTTGATGTTGGCAAAAGATATTGTTTTTCAACTCCAAATTAAAATTAAGATTTCCGCGGAAAACCAATGGAAGTGAACAGATTTCACCATAAAGCTGCTCAATAGGAATCTTGCGAGAAGGAGAAACTAGGTTTTCATGAGCAAATAAGTGGCTTTTGTAAAATCAAATTTACTGTAATGATTATATCCTGCTGTCTGACTTCTTTAGTGGTACACCAAAGTGCCTGTACATGTATCAAAAAAGTGTAACTTCAATTTCTTTTTAGGAACTGAAATATATTGTCGTTAGAGCTCAATAGCAATATTTTAGCTTTGCGTTTAGGAGCATCCTAGAATTTTAAAATGAGAATTTTTAATGAGCACTCAAAAATTAATGTCTGTAAATGTGTAAAAAATAAATAATGGTAAATAAGTTTTGACTGTATTTTCCAGTAACAGAGGCTTTGGACAAACAATTAGGAATAAAAATCAGCGATAATAATTTTGAATGACCTTTTGATGACTCATTCATCATTTCAAACTCGTAAAACTAAACGTCCAATTCTTATGAGTTCTGTATATACTAGGAATGCCTGTGAAAGTCTTGTTGCATCTGATTAAAAACTCTACAATGTGGAATGTAGAGAGTGTTAATTAAGAACTAAATAGTTTTGCTTTGATTGAGTCAGATTGAGTGTTCAGTTTAGGTTTCTTTTCTTGGATAATTAAAAATAATTGATAATTCTAATTGAAACATATTTTAGTTTATTTTCTGCATGGGTTTTTGAAATTTCATCGTCTGTTTCTGAATTTGACAATAATAATTGCGAAAATATACTTTTTAAGGCAATTTTGATCAAAACATTGGCTGTTTTTGTTTTATTTCTGTACACATGAAAATACCACAAGAATTACCAAACTTTTAATTCACAGAAACAGATTTTACCATAATTGAGTTTCAGTTAATTTTTAGTGATGATTGCTATTGGCATAATTCCCAGCTCTGATATAACGAATTGTATGGAAAATGTCACAAGTAAGCCACTTATTTGCAAATGAACGACACCCACACAACAAACTGGTCAGTTCAATACACTGTTTACATTTGCACTAGTTACATGTGCATCAAAGTGGTATTGGAATACAATGTTAAAGATCTTCATACTGCAACTAGATAAATTTAAAGGTTGGTAAAATTTGCTATTTTAGTTAGTTGCATATCCTGGGCTTTTTATCTTAGTTATTAATTGATTGATTGATTGATTGATTGATTGATTGATTGATTGATTGATTCATTGGTTGATTGATTGACTCAGGAATTTCCCTTTACCTATGATTAAAAAAGAGATCTTTGAAAAAGACAGAAAATAATTAAAGCTTCTTCCCAATTTGCTCATTGACCAAAATAACAGCTGCAAAGGAGACCTGCAAAACCACATGTGCACATGTAATTAGGAAATGAACAGAGAGTAATAAATTGGTATTATAAATTTTCACCTTGAGTAGTCAAATAATTTTTCATCTCAATCAACCCACGGTAATGTGTTGCCAATTTTGTTAAATTGGAATTTGGAAATTTTGGTTTTTCAGGAGTGAGGGAAACCGGAGTACCCGGAGAAAAACCCTCGGGGCATGGTGCACTGTGCCATCTCTGCTGCCCATAATACCTCATATACCTTAATATATTTATAATTCAACTTATGAAAGCCTGTCATCCAAGGCTCGCTTTCATCCACTGTCCTTGATCCCCAGTTGTCAATCCTTAGTCCTACACTTGCTTCTTGATCCACTGTTCTGAGTCCTTGGTCCTCTGAGTTGGGTCCTCTGTCCTGGTCCTCTGGCGTGGGTCCTCTGTCGTGGGTCCTCTGTCGTGGGTCCTCTGTCGTGGGTCCTCTGTCCTGGGTTCTCTGTCCTGGGTCCTCTGTCCTGGGTCCTCTGTCCTGGGTCCTCTGTCCTGGGTCCTCTGTCCTGGGTCCTCTGTCCTGGGTCCTCTGTCCTGGGTCCTCTGTCCTGGGTCCCCAGTCCTTGATCCTGTGATCTATGTCTCTAACAACCTGCCTGCAAATCCAATAATTATGTAACTAGTAAGTATTTTGTACATGGCGTTTGCTAAACTTGCATAAAAGCAATGTGCAAATAATTCTTTTCTCTTAAAATTTTGCTTCAGAGTCTTAAGAATTTCACAACCTCCTAAAGGATTACCCAAACATTTCTACCCCACCAAAACAAACTAATTCCCCGAGCAATCAATCAGTGTTTTTGCAGCAGAATGCTAGCCATAAGCCAGGCAATGATGTCCCTTGTTAAGATAAATGATTCTGAACCAGACATTAACTCTGAAGCCAGAGGCAAGAAATCCCGATTCATCCCAAGGAATAATATTGTCCCAGGAATAAATAAGACCTGGTCCATGGACTACTTGAATGGACTACCCACGGACTACCCTAGATGGACCACCCTAAAATTTGAGGCGAACACGAAATCAATTTAACGATACTAGAACCTGAACAAAAGATGCAATCGACCAACAAACACAATTTCAGAACATTTGTGATGTAACAGATTTAACGATCATGGCCGGGTTTTTCAGAAGGCGGTTAACGCTAACCCAGTCCTGATTAAAAGTTAACCAAAGTATAATTTTCTCTTGTATATAAAAAATGTTTTTCACTTCTTATGTTTAAATTTGTGTATTTTGAGATTATTCAAACTCAAAACAGAAGACCAAACAATAAAAACAGAAAATCTCACTGCAAAGTTACTTTTAAACTCAAATAAAAATTCTCGCCTAACCTGGGTTAGCTTAATCGGGCTTTGAACAACCCAGCCCTGTGCTTCGCTTTTAGCCTTGGCTAAATCTACATATTAGAACTTTAGTACAAAAGCAACGTACATGTGTCACAACATGTACCTGTTAAGTTCAAGTTATAGCAATGCCACAGGTCAGGCCCAAGAAGACTCTGGTCAGTACTTGCTTCATTATCTACTGCACGACTTTGAAATTAAGCCTGTAAGAAACAAATCGTTCAATAATTAGAAGGGCACAGAAATGCTCAACTTGGAGACATGTAGTTATAGTTTTGGCAAGAAAGTATGTTAAAAGTTAAAGTAAACGCTCTAAACATCTAGTCGTCTGCATTGCATGTCACAGCTCTTTATTCTTGATCGATTGATCATAACATCTGAAGATACACACAAAGAAAACATACAGCAATTTATTTCAACGTGCTCTAAAAGAAAATATATAAAATGGAAACTTGTCAAATTACTTTCCTATACGACTAAGTGCCTTTGAAAATGTGGTACAATTTTGGTTGAAGGACTGGCAAGATGAGTGTGGATGAAATTGACACCATACTTTTATTGTGAGCACAAACATGATCACACACACACTCGCAACAAAATTCAATTTTACAGCAAAATTACAAATGGACAAAGATAAACATGAATAAGAAGTTTAGGAAATCATAACATCATTTCTACCTACATAAAGAAACTAATTTTCATGAAAAAAATCGACTGCCACTCAACAGCTTCGAAGACCGATGCGAAAACAAACTAGGCTAGTCACCAGTGCTTTTCTGCCCACAAGGTGACTCCAAGTAGACCGGTTAACAAGTAATTTCCACGAAAAAGCACGTTTTTCTCACTTCTTAGCTTCCAAAGTGTTTTTTGAAGAAAGAAAATTTATTCCAAATATAATGCAAATACTCAAGCTACTATTTTCTACGTGAGAGATCTCCTTAGTAGGTAAGAAAGGATCTTTGAACAGCTGGATCAATACTTGAATCCATATCAAATCAAAGGACATCTGGAAACTAAATCAACCATCCAGCCCCCTTCCTCCTGGAATTTCCTGGGTCTTTGACTCCCCACCCCTCCAGAATTTCCAATTCCCCATGTGGTGGGGGTATGGATATTTTCTAGAACCAAACAAAGGCGAAATGGCAAAATAGGACTTAAAATTGTGGTATACGATTAACCCATACAACTATTGAGAGCTAACCACCTACAACTCAGTGACATAATTAGGCTAACCAGAGCACTATTTAGGACAAATGGAGCTGTCTGTTAGGTCTAGGTCTATTCTAGCCTGCGAACGCAGACATATTTCCAGCTGTCACTTGGTTCTGCCGAAAAATAACACCTGCGAACCCGAGCCAGGAAACGATCTCTGTGACATAATGACTTTTGTTTCTCCTTGGCCAATCAGATTCCATGATAGAATGAAACTCGAGTGCTCCTCACAGTGAATACCTCACATAGTAGTTCTGGGGTTATTTGAGCTAAACTGTGATTGGCTTAGAATTCCTACGTCACAGAAATCGTTTTCTGGCTCGGGTTCCCAGACGCTATTTTTCGGTCGAACCAAGTGACAGCCGGAAATACACGTACGTCTGCGTTCGCAGGCTAGGTCTATTCAGGCTAACTGTAGTAACCTTTTGTCATTTCGCCATTTCGTGTTTTAAACACGGTCCGCATGACCCGTTTTCACAAAAATGGCAAAGTAAGCATTGTAAATTTATTTACATACCATTTTGCTGTTCCACGTCTTTACTACCAGAATCTCTCCTAACACATGCAGGTACAGACGTAGGTGGATTCAGAATGGAATGACATTTCTGCAGTGTACTTTAATTTAGCTTCCTGGTTCTAAACAAAAAGAAAAAATATTCATTTCGTTATCCATTTTTGAATTTGTTTTTGCACTTTTTGTTTAATTGTAGTAAAAGCTGGGAAACTTAACAATCGATAAACGTACGCATAACAAGTTAAAATCCGAACATTTATTCTCATTGAGTCATAGAGTCTTTATAGCTAGCAACTGTACTGCATCGATGCTCAAGCTGGTTAATTCACTTACCCCACAAAACGTCCATAACTACCACGCAAGCGGCATAAAGGTCCACAACTCCCGAAGAAAAGTTCGGCGCCATGTTGGAATAATGGCTAGGACCCATACCCTCGGGGTGAATACAATGTCATGTAACGAGTACAAACTGTATCCATGAACTGCACAAAACCCCTACACCGCCATAGTTTTGTAAGTAATATGGACCAAATGCAATTAAACCTAAAATACGCTCCTATAGCAATGTACACCGCTACAAAGCAACGCGTATACAAGCCTCTCCATGCTTTAAAATATTTGGCTTGCATGTTTAAAGAACTGACAAGGACACAAAGAAACACATATTGCATGTAAGAGGCTGTCCGCGTAAGAACGGGTAAGGCAAATTTTGGACCTTCACCGATTAGCCTCATTTTTTCAGTAAAAGTCAACTATTATATCCAATGTACAAATATCACACTTACTTGGATTAATTCGATTTTTTTTTTTTTTTTTTTTCATTTTTTGCGAGACGGTTTTCAAGGTGACCTCAAAACAGGTTATTTGCCTTGGGAGACTGACATTTAGCTAAAAGTATTGGACGTTGCCAAAACAAAGTTTTTTATTCCAACAAACTGAATGTTTTGCATGCAAAATTTTCACCTTTCTTCAATATTTTAAAGGTTTAACAATCATATTCTGTCAACGTTTGACGGAGTTAAGATTTTTTTTAAAATATCCCTGCCGAAGTCCGGAATGTCTGAAGCGTAACATAACAAAAGTTAAAAGCTATTTTCGCAAATGTGGGACTTGATCTAGGATAAATTCTATGATAACTCAAAAGTACTAACAACAATGTAAAAATGTAGGGAATAAAGTTTGTGGGCGCTCTCCACTGCGCGCCGTACAGAGCTCCACGAATTCGCCAAATATTCGCCATTTTACACTTTAAGTTCAAAACGCTTTGCATGGGTTTATTTTCGCTGGGGGTACTAGTGGAAAATCGCGGATTTAGGCCATAAACAGAGTAAGGGTTTTCAAAAGCGGGCCGTACATCCCGACCCCATTTTTGTGGGAGTACCACCCCCTCTCCGCCCCTCCCCCCTTACGACGTACACATACGAATACCGCACATAAAGGTAATTCTCAAAAATAATGTGAAAGGAAGGAAACCTTTTATATGAGCAGCATGTGCACACATTACATTTTGAATTTCCGGGGGTTAATTCCCAGGCCAAAAATGGTGCTCTAATCCCTCAACTTAGGGTTATATTAGGCGATCAAAATGGCCCTTCCCGTGGTTAAAAATAATCACTTGGACAATCGACAAATCTACGTGATTTGAAATGCCGTTTTCATTTTTTGACACTTCAAATAAAGCCCAGGGAGTTTAATTTGCAGGCCCTATAAACCCAGCAGCAATATCACTGACGGACATGATTTTCCCTTAGAATTTCTCTTGATCAACGTAAACTGTAACCATTGGGCTACAGGGGGACTCCTAGAATTGGGTAGCAAATTTAACGGTACCTATATGCACACTAGGTTTTATTGATAGCCTCATCTTGCTTTGAAAAATATGCCATAAAAAAAAGAAAGACATTGTCTAAGTTATAAAGTCTTTTATGAAATCCCTTTTTAACTCTTTCCTAAGGAACGAAAAAATAACATTTCCATCAATTTCCGTTCTTTCGCAGGTCTTTGCCTGTTGGATACAAGCTAATCAAGAGAGCTGGAATAAAAT